CCCAGATGCAGGTGACAACGCCCGGCGCCCAGCGTGGCGGCCACACGGGGACCATGCTGCGCGTACTGGGCGCTGCGCGTAAGCGGGATGTAAAGGCCACACAGAATCTGTCCATCATTGTGCTGTTTTTTATGATTTGCTGGATACCGCTGTACACGATCAATTGCATCAAGGCCTTCTGCCCGGACTGCTATGTGCATCCCAAATTGACGCTCTTCTGCATCATACTCTCCCACCTGAACTCGGCTGTTAATCCTTTGCTGTATGCCTATCATCTGAAAGACTTTCGGCTGGCGCTAAAGAACCTAATGCTGAAACTGATGGGCGTTGATATCGACCAGCAGGCGGAGGCTATACATCGCTTCTCGCTGGCCAGCCAGCATCGTCTGCAGTCCATGGACTCCACCATGCGCACCACGCAGCCGCGCATGTATGTGGGTGAGTGTGAGTGCGCGTCGTCTACTTTAATACGCACCGAGTGGCGGCTAATGATCCTCCTCTGCTTCCCCACAGACTCGCCCATTTGGCTGCGGCAGCAGCAGGAGGCGCTCAAGAACTCACAGCTGCTGCCCAAATGCGGCGTGCTCAGTCCCTGTGTAAACAACATCAACCAAACGGTGGCCGCCGCCGTCGCCGTCTCCACGGACATTGAGCGCGACATGTGGAACATTGTGGAGGCCTCCAGCGGTGCGGAGCTGGGCGAGACCAGCTATGAGTTTCCCAGTGTCAAGCAGGAGAGCGATCATGATAGCAGCCTCTCTGTATCGGCGCCGGCAACGGCACAGTCAGCAGCGCAGCAAGCAGCGCAGCAGCAGCGCTGCGATAGCGCCTACTCGTATGAAAACCAAAACTATTCGACCGGGCCCGAGGATGGCATCAGCCTGCCCTACGATCTAGACGAGTACGAGGATGTGTTTGTGCCGCCAAGCGGAAATAGCAACTACCAGGGCGTAGATCCAGTGGAGCTGCGCCGCAGCCTGGCCTGTGTCATGCGCGAGAAGCTGCGCTCCGATGACACCGACTACTACAGCCAGCAGCACGCGCTGCAGGATCCCACCAGCGTTGACTACGGACTGCCGTCAAAGCTGGAGCACAGTAGACCCTGCTCCACGCGCACCTCTCCCAGCAATGGCGCACTGCCGCAGCAGCTGCGCGCCAAGCTGCTCGCCGGCAACTCTAGTAGCGATCACTGCCTGCCCCTGCCCAGTACTGGTGCCGCCACCGGCACCGTCTATGTTATCGATGGCGCCACGAATCCGCTATCGCCGGGTCACAAGCCCAAATACCGTAAGTCGACGGCGCTTACGAGGAACTCACGCAAGAAGAGTCGATCTTGCACTTGCACCAACGAACAAAAACTGGCGAGTCCTGGCGAGACAACCGCCTCAACCACCGCCCATCACAATAATCTCAGCAATAGGCACTCGGAGCAGCTGCAGCAGCAGAACCACGACCACTTCTTCAGTCCTCTGAAGACGGTGGGTAGCTTCATGCAGCATTCCAATCTCTTTAATCTCTTCCAACCACACACAACGACGGCCCCAGCGGCGACGGCGTTGAGCATTGGCCCTGGGCCTGGACCAGGACCTGGACCTGGTGTTGGGCCTGCACCTGCTCCCGTTTCACGACTAACCGCCGGGGCCTTGACCTCAACATCGGCCTCGTCGTCTTCGTCCCTAGTCGCTGCCAGCGTGGAGAGTTGACCAACGGTCAAAGCTCCTCAGGAGGCAGGCAATCTCTAGGCAAATACTCGCAAGTCAAAGCTTTTAGTATTAATCTTTAGCTCTCGCGTTCAAAACGAGTCATAGATTAAAGCTTGGAACAGCTGGAAACTGAACGATTCAGTTCCAGTTGGGATCCAACAGTTCCAGTTCGATTTAGTAAATTATGCGCATTTATTTTTTGATATAATTATCTTGTATTAGTTAGTTAATTGTTTGCAAGTAAACTTAAAGTCAATTTAAGTAAATTACCGTATTGTGCATACTCGTATTTTTTCTACATATGTATGTATGTATTTAAGTATTACATTGCTTAGATATCTTTTGATGTGACATATATATATAGGCCTTCCTAAATATGCATGTGTGTTTAACTAAGTATACTTGGACCGTCTGTGAAAATCAAAATTTATGTGTTTATTAAATGTATAGTTGAAGATCAAATAAAATATGAAATACCAAAATACCTAAATGAAAGCACGTAATGGTCTTTTTCATTTTTGACATTTTTTAGGACATTGCGGCTGGAAAGCTTGGCAATGTACCTGGCACAGCTGTGGCATTCCAAAAGCAATGCTGTTTGACTTTAATGCAACACTCTGAAAATTAAAATTCTTATTAAAAAGTATCGTAAAATATTAAACAATATATTCAAATAAAATATTATTTTTGCGTTTTTTAAGACATTTCAAGAAGCTTTAAAAGCTCGCATATATCACCTGTAACAGCTGATGCATTCTGATAAGTAAATTCCGGCAAAAAGCTTTGCGTCGGTGTGTGTCTCAGCTAGGTAGTCTTCTACTTATATAAGAGGTGCCCAGAGCAAGCGTAGCACAAAACGTTCTCCAAATGTTAACATGACAACAAAAACTAGCATTAGATACTTAAATTTACTTTATACACTATGATATTAATAAATCAAAAAGTTGTTAACAGATTATGCAAACAGCATCGCAGCCAGCGAATCTATAACAAGAAAATATACGGCTCGGGAAGCGGTACATTAGCTGAGAAACAAACCATCATGGACATGAACCAGAGCGCAACAGACCTAACGCTTGACGCACTAAAGAGCGTTGTCTCGCAAGCTCTTTTGGGCAAATTCACAGCTGTTTTTCCTAAGCTTTTCAAGTGCCAATGGAAGACATATGAAGGTCAGAAGAAGGTTAGTACATCGTTTCATTACGTCCGAGGTGGGTGTGTTTAGGCCAAGTAAAAGCAAAATTGAAGCACATAAATCATTTTTTACGGCGATTTATTAATCAAAATTTTGCATTTAGTTAACAAAATTATCAATTTACAGCAGCTAAATTAATGTTTGGTTTTTTCCATTCTCCGGCGTGCAGCTTTACGCGAATTTCAGTGCAGACTCCGCTAAGAACATGGCAAACCGTAGATTTTGTGTGGGTGGCAACTGGAAGATGAACGGCGACCAGAAGTCCATTGCCGAGATCTGTAAGGTTCTCAGCGATGCTGCCCTGGATGCCAATACGGAGGTGGTAATCGGCTGCCCGGCCATTTATCTGATGTACGCTCGCAATCTGCTGCCCTGCAACATTGGCGTCGCCGGCCAGAATGCCTACAAGGTCGCCAAGGGCGCCTTCACCGGTGAGATTTCACCAGCCATGTTGAAGGACATTGGCGCCGAATGGGTTATCTTGGGCCACTCAGAGCGTCGTGCCATCTTCAAGGAGACGGACGAGCTGATTGCCGAGAAGGCGGAGCACGCCCTGGCCGAGGGCCTTAAGATAATTGCTTGCATTGGCGAGACACTGGAGGAGCGCGAGGCGGGCAAAACCAACGATGTGGTTGCACGCCAGATGTGCGCCTATGCCAAAAAGATCAGAGACTGGACCAACGTGGTGGTGGCCTACGAGCCTGTCTGGGCCATTGGCACCGGAAAGACAGCCACGCCCGAACAGGTGAGTACCAAATGCTACACACATCCCGACAAGAATTTGGAGCTTATTTCATCTTTCATTCAACAGGCCCAAGAGGTGCACGCCTATCTCAGGAAGTGGCTGGAGGAAAACGTCTCCAAGGCGGTGTCCGCCAGTCTGCGCATACAGTACGGCGGCTCTGTGACGGGTGCCAATGCCAAGGAGCTGGCCAAGAAGCCCGACATTGATGGTTTCCTCGTGGGCGGCGCCTCGCTGAAACCAGAGTTTGTGGACATCATCAATGCCCGCAAGTAAATGCGGCCTGGATCGCACTTGCAGCAGCTCGCAAACTGCCCCCACAAAAACAAAAGCCGTAAAAAATACAACAAAAAAAACCAAACTTAATCGATTAAGAGATCTATGGCATTACGCATAACTTCAAAGAACTGTTGTCGATCGCTTCGAGAAACCTGATGGCGCTGGATGATTGTAATCGAATGTAATTCAAAATTCCTTGTTCTCAAAAGTCGCTGTATCCTTTTTAACGCTAACGATTCATAATTTATTCACACCTTGGCATAGATCACACACATTTCGAGTATCTATCTTAGGATTATTTGAATTACACTCATATTTTTAAATTTGGACGCTAAGACCTCAAAATAAATGTTAAAAAATAATACGATTACTTATCACGCTGCATACATATATGTATGTATGAGCTACCAAATTTAGATTAGTTTTAGACTTTGTTTGCTTTCCCTTGAACTTTGATAGAGACATTCGGTTTGTTCATACTCTTGCGGAGAGGGTATGATTATTTTGTTACTAAATGTTTTAAGTGATCATACGTATATTTTATACCGAAATATTAAAAAACGTTTTATTGGTCTTGCGCAGATATATGTTACTGGCAAAAGGAAGTGAGTCAGACTTCAAAAAGTATATATAGTGAATAATCTTAACGGACGCTTCCATTAGACGGACTCCCCTGAATCAGGCCACATCCATTTTTCCATAAACTATATATGTATATTCAAAATTAGCGTCAATCAACCAGAAGACCTTGAAATTTTAAACGTAGGCTCTCTCGGGCGCAGGAGTTCGTTCAACAACCCATTGTCAGGCATTCGATAGAAATCGGGTTAAAAATTCTGCTTTTTTGGTATATCTCTCAGGTCTTTTCAGAGCTACATATATTGCCCAACTTTTCCATCTAATTAGAATTGAGTGAAACTATTTTTTATATATATACTTTTATAAAATTTATAATTTACCTTTGCCTATTAAATAGGTATATGTTGGCTGTTGAAGGTGCTGGGTATCCCCTAGTCGTGTGTACCCTTAAATGTGTTTTATTAAACTTAGTAAGCTCTCCAGAACAGAGACAGTTGTTTAGTATCCAGTTATTGTTATCATTCAGTTCGTTTAATTTCTATTTAGCAACAGATCAGATACAAATTTAACATGAATGAAAGTGTTCTAAATATTTTACCAAATTATAAACAAACATTGCCAAATTGATAACATATTACCAATTAGCCGAAAACCTGATCAAAAAACAAAACCAATTGACGAAACTTATATAAAGGCATATATATTTGATAATAATGGTACCACTTAAGCTATCCTACTCGTTCGATGTTATTCTGCTGAAATCTAGTCGATGCCCACTCGATGGGGAGGAGAACCCATTCACCTACAGCGTCCGCCTATTAGCTGAATTTGTCGAACTGCCAGAGAATCGTCTGTTTGCCCAATGCTTTCCTTCCAAGGCGCTGGGCAAGTTCGTCGCTAGTCCCTGCGAACTAATTGGTGCACTGACCACCGAGGGCATCCGGGTGAACGTGTACGAGCATGGCCAGATATTCGGCTGTGGCAACTGCAAGCCATCGACGCAAATGCTGCGCCAGCTAGCGCGTTCCACATTCCCGGTGAATGAGGTTCTGAGTGTCGACTTGCAGAAGGACAAAACGCACGTAGCTCAATTAGACCTTAACATTAAGTTCAGCTCTGCCGATCCGGATCTAGAGTAAGTCGCTGCTGCTAAAAAGGGTATAATGTTGTTCTGCTAAATAGAAGGAGCCATCTCCGACCCCATAAAAATATATATTTCAGAACTCAAAAATACCGCATGCAAAAGGAATTAATCATATCGATAAGAACCGGTTTTGAGATTTGGTTTAATAATCTTAATTTCAGAACTATAAGACCTCATAGGCAAAATTTGGTATTTAGGCTCTCTTATAATATAAATAGATATATTTTTTTGTTTGGATATCTTCCTTAATTTCTCCATTTTTAAAACTAAGTTCTTCTTGCGCTTTAATATTAACACGCATTAGGGTACCATATTTGTAAGCTTCAAATAACATAAAGAAAGTACTAAAAACACAATCGCCATTAAAGAATACTAGAACATTAAAAAATAGGTTGACGCGGGGTTCAGGGTATCTCCTAGATGGGTTCTCCCGACTAAAACACTCCTATTCGTTAAAATGGGACTCTCTTTTAGCAGCCAAATGTTGCCAAATGGGTGTTACGATTTCTGCCGTCCGTTGGACAAGTCCATCAATCCACGTGACTTCATCTTCACACTGGGTCGCTCAGAAAAATGCCCGGCGACCTCCTGCATCATCGACGAGCGTTTTATGACGCATGTCGGTGCACCCTTTAGCTGCGAGCATAAGAAGAGCCAGCCGACTGGCAGGGAATGTGGTTGTGCCAGAGGTCGATCCGACCAAAGGACGCGATCGTAGGCTGCTAGAAAAGCTGCTGATCCATCTGTGTGTACCCAGGACGTGTGACCACAAGCCTTCCAGACGTTGCAAGTGTCTGAAATATCAATCAATCAATGACAGCAACACATTAAAGCGATGCCAGCTCCATTCGGAAGGGGATGAGGAACAGAAATAGCATCCATTGAAATTTATGTCGGTGACAACTGGAATTTGAACGGCGGCAAGAAGTATAGAGATAGTCATCGACTAATTGCTGAGAAGGGGGACGCCTCAAGCCAGAGTTTGCGGACATAATCAATGCCTGACCGCATTTGCAGCAGTTTGCAAGTAACCCCTCAAAAACAAAAGCCGTAAAAATAATCAAGAAACAAAAACAACTAGATCGATTAAGAGATCAATGGCATTACGAATAACTTTTAAAGAACTAGTGTCGATGGCTTCGAGAAACGCAAGAGAAACCTGATGGCCCTGGATGATTGTAATCGAATGTAATTCAAAATTTCTTGTTCTCCAAAATCGCTGTTTCGGTTTAGACGCTAACAAGTTATTATTTACTCACACTTTGGCATTGCTCATTGATCGAGTATCTATCATAGGATTTTTGGAATTACATTCATTATATTTTTAATTTTGGACGCTAAAATTTTTTAGATATTACCTTTCCACTAAGAACACGTTCGTGAAAAATTGAAAAATACCCATCTTAATATCCACTTCTATTTAAAAATGTGTTGAATATGCATCGAATAAAGAAGCAAATGTTGGAATCAGAAGTTTCCGCCCTTGTTAGCCTTGTGGTAAGATAATCGAAAATTTACTTTTACAGAACCGCATTTTCGACTCAATAGCGGCGAACTTTGCGAAGGCGTGTCAAATAAGTTCTGATAAAGAATTTTAAAAATGTTTAAGCGTTTTTGTTTTTCTTAAACTTAGCAAGCTCTCTAAAACACAGACAGTTGTATCATATCAAGTTAATTTTATTATTCATTTCATTTTATTTATTTAACAACATCGGTTTTTCTAAACAAAAATTTTACATGAATGAAAATTTTCTAAATATTTTACCAAATTGTAAACACAAATTGCGAGATTGCCAAATTGCGGACAAATTGTCAATTAGCCGAACACCAATAAAAAACCAAAACCAATTGAAGCATTAATTTGAATGCATATCCATATATAGTTGATACTTATGGAACCACTTAAGCAATCCTATTCGTTCGATATTATTTTGCTAAATTCTAGTCGACGCCCACGCGAAGGGGAGGAGAACCCATTCACCTACAGCATTCGACTGTTTAACGAATTTGTTGAGCTGCCACAGAATCGACTGTTTACCCAATGCTTTCCTTCCAAGGCGCTGGGCAAGTTCGTGGCCAGTCCCTGCGAGCTAGTTGGTTCACTGACCACCAAGGGCATCTGCGTGACCATGTACGAGGGTGAGCAGATGTACGGCTGTGGCAACTGCAGGCTTTCGCCTCCAGTGCTGCGCCAGCTGGCGGATCCCACATTCTCGGTGAATGAGGTTCTCAGCGTCGAGTTGCAGAAGAACAAGAAGCGCATGGCTACCGTAGACATTAACATCAAGTTCAGCTCTACCGATCCGGATCTGGAGTAAGTTGTAACAGAAAATAAATGTGCATGAATTGCACTGAGGTTTAGGCTGAATCCGTCTGTTTATTTGTATGGCATGACAGAACATGTTTTTCATGTTCTGTTGTTATATTCCCCATTTCGATAGTATCTATCAAATCTGTTTCTAGAATTGGTCTTCTAAACATAAAACGGAAGCTATAGCAGCTAAATACACCAAATTTGGTATGTTGTATGGTATATGCAAATTAAAAATGTTGTACTTTAATGATATTTTCCCCAATTTTTCTACTTTTAAAGACAGTCTGCGCTTTAGCATTAAGACACGTTTGGATGTCTTATTGTTACTAAATATAGCTAGAATGTTTGTAAAGGTATCTCGATGCGATACGGCGTCTCCTAGACGGACACATCCGACTAGAGCTCTTACAGTTTTAAATGATGTTGTCTTTTAGCACCAGATTGCTCCCCTTTGGTTGTTACGATGTCTGCCGGCCGCTGGATAAGTCTGTCAATCCGCGGGACGTCATCTTCACGCTGGGTCGCTCCGGCAGATGCGCGGCGACTTCCTGCATCACCGACGAGCGTCTTATGACGCATGCCGGCGCACCCTTTAGCTGCATGCACAAGAAGAGCCAGCCAACTGGCGAGGAATGTGGTTGTATTCTGCGTGGCGTAAAGCCACCGCCCGAGCTCGATCCAACCAAGGACCGCGAGCGTACGCTACTGAAGAAGCTGCTGATCGATCTCGATATTGATAAGGTGCATGTGCCCACGCCGCCGTCTGGTCACGAGCGTTCCAGGCGCTGCAAATGTCCGAAATATCCCTCTAGCAGCGACAGCGGAACATTTAACTCCAGTGATGGCTGGCTCTCGGAATGGGATGACCAACAGAAGCAGCCGCCGTCCATATTTGAATCGGCTTTCACACCAGAGCAGCTGGAAGCGCTGGACGTAGCACGGAAACACACGCTGGGGGTGTGTCCAGTTATCAAGCAACCGGAATTGATGACCACCAAGTATACGCCCCCGCTGCTCTGCCCCGTGTGCCATGCAAACATCACCTGGTTGCCTAAGGTGGCCGCCTGCCCGTATTGTGGCTACAAACGCTTCGAGATGGACAAGCCCAGCGAGGAGCCGTTCGATGAGTCGGCCACCGCGGCGGAGGTCCTGCGCAATCATATGCTCAGAACTCGGCTGAGCAGCGAGGAAAACAGTCAGCGGAAGCATAACAGCTACGCCAGTATTCCAAAGAACTCCAAGGACTGCACCTGCAGGACAAGCCGCGTCTGCACGCGCTGCCGCATCCAGGAGTTGTGCGATCAGATGCTCAGCAAAAGCAGCACCACAAAGATCAAATCGCAGCCGCAGTCCCAATCGCAGGAGCAGATCCGGACGCCAAGGAAGACGGCTTCAACGCCGTCGCAGCGGCGCAATCAGCTGTTAAAAATCTTTACAGACATGCATGATGTTTACAGCGACAAAAGGACCCCCAAGCAGTTGACTGAGAAGCTGTTAAAGGATTGCGAGGCAATCGCATGCAAAGCCAAAAAAAAGGGTCGTCGCCGCCAATCAACTGCTATAAAGTGTGCACTCAAGGATCTCAAGACAACATATCCGCTCAAGAAAAGGAAACCGAAATGTGTTAAGAAAGCCAAGCGTCGCATCAAATCCAAGCGGTGAGTCAGTTGAACCATTCAATCTATATCCGTCCGACCTCATCAATCCTCGCCCACTAGCTATACGTTCCTAGTACGTAAGGACAACTCGCGGCAGCCCTCCACGCACCATACCTGCTCACGCGGCAGTGGCCGGGTGCCCTGCCATATGGGGTGGATGTGGACCGAGAGCGAGCTGGCACGTCACAGATGCTGGAAACCTGGCGCCATCAAAAAATCCATACGCCAGCTAATGGCCTATTTTCTGCGAGACTATCCCGCTGACAAGATTGGCAATTCACGGTTTCATTATCGCCGCCGCCGCCAGAGCTCCAACCAGCCCGTGGAAGAGGAGCCCCTGATACAGCATCCGACACTGCACATAACCAAGAAATACGACGAATACACCATCACACTGCGTCCGCTTAAGGATGCCAAGAGTCTGGCCGTGGACGCCAATCCGTATGCGAACATGAAGCCGGTTGTCTTTCGCATCATCAAGGATCCGATTACCACGGGCATGCGCAATATAAAGATCAGTCTCAAAGACAAGGGTTATCCCGTGTGCAGCTGCCATCAGCCGGTAGCCAGTTGTTTTTGTCGCAGTCACGTTGACCAAAAGATCGTCGCTCAGGAAGTTAAGCTGCTGAGTGAGGAGCGCGGTTGGCGTGACGTTAGCGACATCTTCGTCTACTCGGATCTAAGCGAGAGCGACAGTGACAATGAGTTAGAGTTTGGAGTAACACCCCCGGCGGGTGTCGTTAAGCCGGAACGCCGCCGAAAGCCCGATCGGGTTAACTGCGAGACCCAGTACAATGAAAATGACTGGGCTATGCCCACCCAGTATCCACATCCGGCCAGCGCCCTAGTGCAGTACGGCGGTTGTGTGCTCGGTGAACGGAAAGCCAGATTCCCCTGGATTATGGGAAAGGGCTTTGTCCATCGGGAGCCAAAGCCACCGAAGATGATAAACAAACCCAAAACGGAAAAGAAGACCAAGGGCAGACTGAAAGGTGGCTACGATGGCGGCACATTCGAGGGTGGGTACAATCCACTTCAAGGCAAACGAGTCTGGCACAAATCGAACAAATTGGAATCTGGTACATTCTATAATTATAACCCTGGATCAACGCAAACGCGTTGAGCAACTGAACCTAATTGAAATTTTAAGTAATGCTCGAAAAATTTTTAAAATCCGACTCGTATAATGCTTGACCTTAGATGACAGAAGTAATGTAAATAAATGGTTAGTGGTTCCGCACGAAATGTGTGCAGCTCATGTAAATAAGTTAATGGAGCCTTTTATATATATATACCCACTGGCATATACCTTATCTAAAATGTAGTAAGGAATACAAAAAAACAGGAGATCGAACAATTTAGAAATAATTTTTTCTAAATTTTTATTTCAGCGGGATGTTTTTTTAGTCTGCATTTTACATACAATAACACTCATGCACATACATATATACACGCGTACATAAATACATTCATACATACATACATACATACATACATACATACATACATACATACATACATACATACATACATACATACATTCATACATACATACATACATACATACATACATACATACATACATACATACATACATACATACATACATACATATATACATATATACATATATACATATATACATATATACATATATACATATATACATATATACATATATACATATATACATATATACATATATACATATATACATATATACATATATACATATATACATATATACATATATACATATATACATATATACATATATACATATATACATATATACATATATACATATATACATATATACATATATACATATATACATATATACATATATACATATATACATATATACATATATACATATATACATATATACATATATACATATATACATATATACATATATACATATATACATACATACATACATACATACATACATACATACATACATACATACATACATACATACATACATACATACATACATCATACATACATACATACATACATACATACATACATACATACATACATACATACATACATACATACATATATACATATATACATATATACATATATACATATATACATACATATATACATACATATATACATACATACATACATAGATACATACATAGATACATACATACATACATACATACATACATACATACATACATACATACATACATACATACATACATACATATATATACATACATACATACATACATACATACATACATACATACATACATACATACATACATACATACATACATACATACATACATACATACATACATACATACATATATGCATACCTGCATACCTACATACCTACATAGCTACACAGCTACACAGCTACATACCTACATACCTACATACCTACATAGCTATATATGTATGTACATAACTTCATAGCCACATACCTTCAAACTTACGTCTCCAGCTTCGCCTCCTTGGTGCTCCTCCTCCTGGTCCTCAGCTTCCAGCGTTGAAGCCTGCGCCTAAAACATAGGTGAAGCCGGCAGGCCTTACTTACATTTTTGAGAATCGAGGAGGAGGGCAGCTTTAATAAATACGTTTTCTTACTCAAACTTGCCGCGCAACAAGACAAATTGGTCTGCTATACAAGACAAATTACATGCATGCATACATACATATATACGAACATACATACATACATACATACATACATACATATGTACATACATACATCCATATATATCACTGAGTAATAAACAGTTTATTAGCTTTATTGCGTAATGGGCGCAATTCTAGCTAGTTTAAAGACCCGTTCACTATTAGATTCAATATTCTTATAAAAAAAAGGATTGAATGGCTGCAAAAACAGTTTTTAAAATGTAACTCACATTGCCTTAGCTTTGCTAACACCTTACCGCCACATTGATCTAGGTGTCCATTACTACAATTGTCATCTCTGGAAAATAGAAGAATGATACCAGCGTTGTTTCTTCTAAAAAATTTAATTGTATGAATTATTGGCTGCGCTTCCCTTCTAGTACGCGTTAGCTGTAATGTTACGAGCAGATTATTGCGATACCATTTGCCGCTCTCTGCGGGCACCTATAGAACTGGTTATGTAAGTAACGAGCCCATGAACAGATCAATAAAGCTTTATAACAGCCTTCGAACTGAAATGCATTTCGATTTTTTACCCATAGTGTAAATATTAAACATAAGCTTAAAGAATTCTTTAAGTTTCATATTTTCTGTTTAGTTAGTTATTTAAGATAATATTTTTGGCATTAAAAAAATTAATTTTAATTTAATTTATTTAATCAATAAAGAAATTAGTATCAAAGTGTGCGTTGATATTTATCAATTGCCTTGTTAAAGCATTTTGTTTGGCAGTGTTGCTTATACTCTATTGAAATTTCAACGCGTAGGCTTCCAGGCTCGAGCGAATAAAAATTTATAGCATTGAAATTATTTTTGTGATTTTACCTTGAAATTAACCGTGCAGATATCTAAATTATAAATTCAATAATTATTGTAGCTGAAGTTCAATTTCGATATGGCAAAGGCTCCGTGCTGTTGGGCATCCAATGAGATGGACAGGGACAAGGAGAACTATATTCGCTGTTCGACTAGACAGAAGCCTAACGATAAGGATACCGACAACAATAAAAAGGGTAAAAAGGACAAAGGTATGTGCTGCGGCCCAGCATTTCGATTGCAAATGGCCAAGGACGCTGAAAGAGATCTAAGCCAGGAAATCGACGAACAGTGTGGCCCTTCCAAGGCCAAGGGCAAGAAAAAGCCCAAGCCCAAGAAAGAGTTATTCCGCTGCTTCACAGCGAACATGATCTGCATGAAGCTGAACATGCCCGGACGGGACTTTGAGTGCCCCAGTCTCCTGAAGATAACTGCCAGCATTTGCAAGGGTTGCAAGCCGGTCATGTGTGCCGATCGCATTAATGTTAACTGCATGCCCTGCGAGCCCAGCGCTCGATTCTCAATGCTGTCCGAGTGTCTGGACAAGGAGCTATCGGAGGGCATCACTCTGGTCGTCTCCTACATGAAGAAAGAGATCGGTGAGCTGAAAATCTAAGCGCATTTTTGCCATACACATTACCCATCCAAAATTGTCCGTATAAACATGTCGATATTGGATACTTAAAGAGCTAGGAATAGGTTATCGATAAGAAATTAGTATATAATCGATCAAAATCGATTTCCAGCATATCATTGAACGATTTTGACTAGAGCACTTTGTGTGATCCCCCAGGTCGTGGTTGCTATGTCATGCCGGACTCGGTCATACGCCGAATAACTGACACATTCCAGGAGGTCGTCCATACCGCCGAAGTGGAACTGACCTGCAAAGGCTGTACTGTGGGCATGTGCACGGTACGCCTTTCGATGACCATGCGTTGTCAGAACATCGATGAGTAAGTAAGCTCCACGGCTGGAGCCTGGGGGCCGATAGCGCCTGAAATTCAATAGAGTAATGGTCACGGACATGGACCTTTGCAGCGACAACGACGACGACGGCGGAGACGACTGTTGTGGCGATATGTTTGGGGACACCTCTCAAAGCTTTCCCACCTCCTCTGATCCGTGCCAGGGATTCTATAGCATTGACGAACAATCCGGTGATGCGTCTCCCTTTTGTCGAACGTCCAGCAACAACAGGTTGAGATGTGAGGCCGGTGGCGAGGTGAGTAGCTGCATTCGCTCCTGGTCATAAGTTGACAATTTCGAGCGGTTCCAGTTGAAGCCTCGACTGATCGATGTGGCTGGACCCTATAACATCTACTCCTGCGCTAAATCCGACGACGGCTGCTTGAAAATAGATGCATCACCTGGACCTGGCGGCCAATTCTCGTTTAGTGCGCGATCCCATTTGGGCGAGGGCAACACGAACCGAATGTGCCCGCCGACATCGGCACCGGAATTGAAACAGATGGGCATGAAGAGGGGACACGAGTGTCCAATGTGTCACGAGGATGTGTCCTGGCTGCCAAAGATTGCAGCCTGTCCGCATTGCGGCTACAAGCCGCTGCCCCAGTTCGAGGAGAAGGAATACGATGAGAAAGCGACAGCCAATGATATACTCGTTGACTTCTTTCAGCACATTGACAGCGAATCAAAAAGCTTGGATTTGGGCTCTTCCAGCGGCTGCTCCAAGACCTGCAATAATCAAGCCTCGGATATCAAGACCGACGAAGCCTTCGAAACGATTGTCCATGATTATAAATCCCTAAAGCAGAGCATCAAGAAATGCAAAAGTGCACAGCCATGTACCAGCTCATCCAAACGATCGCAGAAAAAACAGCAAACCGATTTAGTCAGTATCTTCACGGAGATGAAGAGGCTGTTCGATGATGGCTGCGATGGAGCGGATAAAAATGCAAAGATTAAGGAAATCTGCGATGACGCCTGCAGACTGGCCAAGGCCTCAAAGAATCGTCGGGTCAGTAAGTCGACCTCGAAAATGTCCGAACCCTGCGGCGCGCCCAAAATGCGCAAGAGGCACAAGATGGCGCACAAGTTGAACGTCAAGTCTAGGGTCTATGCGCCCATGGAGCCCGTCACTCATCCGCGACAAGGCCATGTCCACTGTCACGATGACGAGCGCAAGGTGCCCGCCCACATGGGCTGGTTGTGGACGCACAATCCATTGGCGAAGCGGCCCGGTTGGCGTCCCGGTGCGATACGCCGTTCCATTCGCGAGTTGATGGGCTACTTCCTGAAGGATTTTCCCGTGGATAGCATACCTATCTCAAAGTATATGTCCTATCACAAGCATAAGAAACTGGCACCACATGATAGGGAGGAGAAGCCAGAGGATCTGGTGCAGGTGCCGACGCTACATATTGAGAAGAAGAACGACGAGTATCTTATTACGCTGCGTCCGCTCAAGGATCCGGATACGCTAAAGCGTGCCGCCAATCCTTATGCGAACATGAAGCCCGTGCAATTCCGCATCGTCAAGAATCCGCTGCTGAAGCAGGTGAGGGAAATGAAGCGGTGCCTGAAGAACATGGGCTTCAGCAAGTGCAAGTGCCACAGGCCCGTGATGCAGTGCTTCTGCCGCAGCTTCATCGACAAGAAGCAGTTAGTCGATGAGGTGCAGCGCCAGTGCCACAAGCGCGGCATGCCCCACTGTGAGAACCAGCTGGTCCTCTCAGACACCACCGACAGCGAGGCGGAATTTGATTTTGGTGTAACGCCGCCAGCGGGCCTAATGCATCCAGAACGGCTGAAGACGGTCGATGTGACCAATACGGAGACCCAGTATAATGAAAATGACTGGGCCATGCCCACCATGTATCCACATCCGCCCAATCCCAATGTACAGTACGGTGGCTGCGTTGTTGGCGAGCGTAAGGGTAAGTTCGCTTGGATCTTTGGCAAGGGCTACGTACATCGGACGCCAAAGCCTCCAAAGATGCGCAATCTGCCCAAGAAGAAACCAAAGAAGAAACTTCCCGGTTCGCCCAAGCCCCGCGAGAAAGGCGGTTACAATAGCGACGTACAGACAAAGTATTTCCCAGAAAGTGCGCGGAACGAGAACCAGCTATATGGGGATCGCCTGCAACGCCTGAACCGAGCTGCCCATCCACCGACAGCCATGCAGTTCCAGCAGCTCCAATCGCGAGTTTCTATCGACTCACGAAAGGTGCGATTTGCCAATAGTAAAAGCGAAAGGTTCACTACGTAGTCCATCGAAATTTTTCATTTTTCATCTTTTTACGTTTTAATTCAGAAAATATTCTATTTCGTATTTCACACAATAAATATCGCACTTTTTTACCTAAGTGAAGTGTCATTTTTCTTGAAATTGCAAACTTTTTCCTTTCTTATTAAGTCTGCATAGGCAATAGCTTCGGCTTATGAGGCTGGCTAGAATGATATACTTAGTACAAATGCTTGTCGTACCTTGATGGCGGAAATTTAAGCTTAAGCTTTAAGTTGAGCACAAGTAAACATGTTCAGTTTTCACACATTTTCCGCCTGCCAAAAAAATTTAAAAATGTCCTACATCTTTGGACACTGCAAGGTTAAGATCTATGAAAGTTGACCTTGCCAAAGCCCCCAAAAAACACACGCGAAGTGGCAACCTTATGTTGCTCAACTGTCATCGGTTGCATAAAATGTTGATTTATTGAAAATTACTGTTTACCTAACCTTTGGGTAGCGGTGATATAACAGTAAAATGTGCGGCAACAGCTAAGTGCGTACACTTTGTGGCGCACACAAATTGCAAGCACTTGCCGTGCCACATGCCACATACACACGCACACCCTCACAGCATAACGTTTTTCCAAGTAATAAATTAATAATTTTCGTTTGTCGCTCGTCGCGCTCTGTTGATGCCACCAACTGTTGCCGCTGATCTTGCGGGCTTTGGCATGTTTTCTTAACCTTAAGCCGGCAGCTAAGCAAACGCAATCACTTGCCCTTTTGTAAATTTGCATGTCAAACACCGGCTAAGCTAATATGAGCTAACACTTCCCAAGCCCCCCGCACGCTCATTGAACCCCCTTTAGCAGCCCTGCTGTAGAGCAGCAAAACTCCACTTAATATTTACGCTTTAGTTTTAATGAATTTGTCGCATGGTATCTTGATGGCAGGCGCAAGAGGCATGAAATTCACATGGCACTTACATGACATTACGTACCGCATGACAATGGCACTGCAATTGGTAGTGCTAGGCGGCAGACGCTACAAAGAGCTAACCGGCTGCCAGCGCGTCGCTCAGTGGCTAGCAAAACTTCCAGCGAGCAGCACGTGCCCCAAAGCCTCTCCAGAATGCGCCACAGTGTGGCTCTATGTCTGGTCCTGTTAAGCGTCTATTTGCTGCTGGCCCATGAGCACAGCGTTGCGGGCAGTTCCGCTTCCAACTACAACGACTACTACTACAACAATGCGAGCGTGAGGCAGCTGCGTTTCCACGATTTCGAGCCGCGACTCAAGAAGGACGGCGAGGAGAGGGGCGAACGTGAAGCACGCGGCTTTCATTTCAGCGCCAGCGGCGAGGATGTCAGCGTGGAAATGGAGTTCATAGTGCCCTTTGTCAAAGTGCCCGCCAAGCGCAGCATGCAGCTGGCCCGCGATGCTGTCCAGGGTCTGCTCAATCTGCGCACCGGAGCACTGCTCAACACGGCGGTCATTGTGGCCGCCGGGGCCATTATAGCCGGAATTGTGCGTCTGGTGCTGGCGCCGCTGGTCTTTACATCCATTAACAATGCCCAGGGCTATGGCTACAGTGGCAAGCAGTACGAGGAGCAGCCAACGGGCAGCAATACCATCAGCCGTGGCAGTGAGTAGCCTCCAGCTGATGACCATGTTAATCAGTTCTAATCCCGCTCTTCGATAGTGCGTAGTCTGACCCAGGTGCTGGAATCGCAGCTGGACGAGCACAGCATCGATGTCTCTAGCTGTGCACAGCGCGCCATTTGCCACTACTTGCAACACAATGCGGCACAGTCGCAGCGCCTTAACCTGAGCCCATCAAATGCCGCCAGGCTCATCGATGTACTGGCCAAGTGAGTAGTCTTTAGCTTCATGTCTTCGTTATGTCACCTAATACTTATCTGTACCACAGCTCACGCTGGCTGGACTCCCATCTGAATGGCACCGCCGTCTTTAGCGCCATTGACGTGGCACGCAGCAGCCGCAACTGTGGCCAAATGTATAGCAGCTGCAGGTGGCCGCAGCTTTCGGACAGCGTATTGCAAAAATCTTGGCCAAATATGTTGCACTTTATAAATGGATATCTGTTTGCTTAGTTATCTAGTTATTAATTATTTATTTATTGTCTTACTGAATTAAAAAAAAAAACATTGCATATTCTTTTCGAACATACTTCGATTATTCACAAAACATTCTGATTTTTGATTTTAAAATAAAATCCATATCCAATAAATTAAAGTTAAAGGCACGTAGCTCTTAAATTCATCGAGATATGCTTAAAAAACCTTGCCTCAAAATCGATATTTATCCATACGATGGAAATGATGAGCAAAAATCGATCGATTTATAAGCTTCTTCTATATATGGTATACGAAAATATATATTTCAAATATCCAGATCGGAGATCCTACCTTCATTTTCGTTTTCAATGGATATAATATAACTTAATTTGGCAAATCAATTTGGGCTACAATCCATAACTAAACCATAACCATATTGTAAAATTAATGGAAGTTAAAAGCATAAGGACATTCAATAAATATTTTTAAGAAAAATTAAACTAAAACCTTTTAGAAATAAATTTTTAAAAAATTATTATTTATTTTATTATTTCAAAAAAAATTATTTCCAGAAATCGTACTCGTCTCATTACAATTTCAAGAACATGTTTACAGTCCTTAAAAAACAGAACCAAAACAGAAGGAATTTTATGCGGAAAAATAAACTTTTGTTAAATTAATGTATCCATTTTTATCCAAGTCTCAGAGGAATTTTCATAAAGATCTATGAAAATGATTTTGAAGCTGATCGGATAGTAAACAAAAAAGTAATAGTTATTTTTTTTCTTTTATGTAATAATCAAATATAAATATTTTTTTAATACGTACCAGTTTTAAGGCAGATTCATTTAGATAACTAAATATTCAAAAATGTTACATCAATTTCAAGTATGAATTAAATTTCAAAACTTTATCGAACGTATTAAGAATCTGTGATCAAATTGTTCATGTATTTGAATCTTTAAATTATAGGTAAAGCTTTCGTACAAATAAAATATCAAGGCTAGCTCTAATTGACTGTTTAGGAATGATATTCACTTTCACAAATTTTGTATTTCAAGTTTAATCTCGTAGTCTTAAAGAATAAATGCAGCTGCGATCAAGTAAGATTCTAAATAACTTCTGTATTTAATTTGTAGAGAGTAATTTATTTTATTACTCTCTTGGCGGAAATGCTGTGTCAATTAAAAATTATGGGAATTTACGGCAGCCGAACTTTAGGTTTAATGTAGTGCAAAACTTCCCCAATGGGTTCCTCAAAACAAAACGCTTTCGCACCTCAGCCCAGTTGGGGCTTATGTCACGGCTGCGCCAGCCGGCTGCAGCAGAAATTGGAGCAGCGGCGCAGTGCAAATTATCACAGCCAAGAGGCAACGAAGCGGCGAGTGGCAAATTTGTTGGCGGCACGTAACTAACCAAGACACAACCGAAACGGATTTTAAATCTGTGGCAGCTACACAACGCAGCAGACCTCAAGGCGGAAGTATGCAGCTCTTATATCTGACTATGGTTAGTCTTATCCTGGCCGGCGGCGTGGGCAGCAAGGAGGAGTCTGAGCAGTCCCAGCAGGAGAACTCTGGCTCCACACGTGCAGCAGAGCACAAGCAGCAGAAGAACAATCCGGGAATACGTCTGATATCCTTTGACACCGTTGACAAGGACATCGCCCTGGGTCTAAACTATCTGATGCCATTTGTGGAAGTGCCCGTTCAACGCAAACGAAACGCGCCGCCCAAGGTAAAGTACCTCTTCGTAACCGGCTAGTTCCATTCGCAGAAAGAACTAAGAGCTATGCGATAAATTTAGTGGAGATCTAAATTTGCAAAACTAAAATCAAAAAACGAAGTCAAACGTTTTTTAATGCCAAAACGTCCATTTACACGGCTTTAAAATTAGATTGTACAGAGTACAGGAATTTTACACCAATGCATTTTCTCTGAGTGTATTTACCCAAGCTTTGCTTTTTTTGCAGCCCCTGGTCATCGTGAACTCCGCCGCTATCGTCAGCTGCAGCCTGGTGGCCGCGGGCGGCATTCTCGTGGGTCATTTGATACGCAACCTGGGCCTGGAGACCATTGTTCCGGATGTCAAGTCTGAGGACTCTGCCAAGCACACAGCGCGTAGCCTGGTCGATGAGGAGCAGAGTTTCCTACAGCTGTTCGATAACTTTAAGCTGATTTATCGGAATGCTAGCGGCGATCGTGTGGGTGAGTTTGACAGCTGAATCGCAATCCAAGCCAGTTTCGTTGATTCCAACTGCCCTCCAGAGACTGCACTGCCCAGTCTTATGAGCACCATCGAGCGCACCTTTTTGGAGAACGACATTAATCTGCCCGTTTGCCTACTCAAGTCAATTTGTGCGCTGACCCACAAGACGGGTGAGAAAGTGCGCAATGGTCAGGCATCGGACTTAGAGCTGATGTTCGATGGCGCCACTAGCTGGAACTGGCTGCTTTCCTGGCTGGAGCAGTCGCCGCTACGCGAGGCCATCCAAGCGGGCCGCATAGCTTCCCCACATTACTGCCACATCAAATATCCACGCTGCAAGTGGACAGCGCCCGAGGAGCAACTACTCGACCTGCTTCACAATAATGTTAAATTCAAATAAGATTATGTAAGACTAAGTCCATTATTAAGAGGTTAAGAGTCTAAGTAAAGAGAAAAATTATGTGATCAAATGTATGAGTATATGTAAATGTTAAAAAACAAATTGGGAAATCAACCCTGTTTTTAAATTAAAGTAAAATTGATTGACTTTTTCAATGAAAAACCATTTTTTATAAATAATTTTGTTTGGAAGAAAGGTTCAAATATTCAAAATATTTTCTGGTATATTTACACGTCATTCGTAGAGGAACAGAAACAGAGAATACAAAAACTCAAAAGCATTCTAATTAAATTTGTAATTAGTTACTGCTTCGCCAAGGCAAAGAAATTCAGTTAAGAATATTTTCGAACAAAAGCGCAATACATTTTTAAGCCTTTAATATACTCACCACTTCAAAAATATTGAAGCCATTCAAAAATTTGGATGTACTCAAGAAATGTTGGCAAGCTAGGTCTCTAACCTCGACCTTATTATGATTTGGATACCATAACTCAATTGCTAGGTCGTTTCTTTAATTGACTTGCCCCATCATCATCTGCTTTAAACACATCCAACCAAATTCTTAATCAAATGAATTAAAAACTATTAATTCGGCATCAATGAACGAATTCTAAATTTATTTAATCAATATTAGTAGCAAAACATAAATGTGAAATACATAAAACAAAATCGAGTTTGAATAGCAAATATGTTTAAAACGAATTTCTTATTAAAAATATGTGTTGTTTTGTGGATAATACGTCCTTTTGAGTTAAAGTTAAGTTAAAGTTCATTATAAAAAAATCATAGCAAGTCAAGTTGAAAGGGAAATTAAAGGACGCAAGTATTGAACTCCTGGTAAATTGTAGTTAATTTCTTTTTTTAAGATAATTGTTAACAGAAATGCACAAAATTGAAGATGGAATATCAAAATTAACTGAACTGACGAAATCTGTACGGCTTAATCAAACATATATTTTAACATTAAATTAGGGTGCATCATTTGCAAACATTGAACTTAAAACTGAAGAATTTTCAATAATTTTTCAAGAGTTTTCGAAATGTTTCTTGTGTTAAAATTTTTATAAAACTATTTCAAAATAATTTTCATTTTATTGTTTTTTTTTTTGTGTTTTCACAGATTTTGCGCCTGAATTTTGATCGGATTTGAACCGTCACCAAAAATAATTTTGAGACTTCAAGCAAAAACTATGAAAATGTTTTTTATTTCCTTTTTGTTGTATTTTTTTTTTTTTTTTTTTTTTTGTGTGTATCTTTTTGCTTGTGTACGAGTTTTACTTATTTCGGTAAAGTTTTTATATGTTTTTGTTTTTTTTTTTGTTTTATGTGGTTTTTGGGGTTTTCTTCTCAACTTTTTTGTTGCATATAGAAACATTACGACTAAATTACATACATGTATATTCATCTGTTCTAGGCAGTTAAAGTTGCTACAAAACTATTCAAAATATTTTAAACCATTCCTGTTTTTGTGTGTGTCGTCTGGTTGTTTTTCGGAGCGCGGTCGTTGGCTATATTTGTAATTTTCATATTTACGCAAGGCTCAAAAATTAATATTTTATTTTTGCTTTAATTTTACTTCTGTTAACTTTTCCATACCAACGCGCTGTAAATGCCAAAATAAACAAAACCCAACTAGAAAACAAAATGATGCTTGCGTAAAATAAAATGCAATGCTCCACCTAATGATGGAGGCGTTTAGGGCATCTCCAGGTAGCTCAGCCCCGTGTCCAGTTGGCTGTTGGTAAACTCGAAGCTGTAGTCGTCGTTGCATAGATCCATTAGGTAGGGTGTACGCAGCAGCGGATTGCTGCTGTCTATGAAGGATATAGAGGATTTGCGACTGGTCGCATTGCTGCTAATTGTCTCCATCTGATCATTGATATCTTCCTCGCACTGCGGCGGCGGTGCCGGCGGCACCGAGGCAACATCCATGGGCACTGCCTCGCGCTTATTTTGCAGCGACCTCCTGGCCATACCCGTCTCGACCAGGCTGTTGTCATCGATGCCGCTGTCACTGGAGGCATCCGTGTCGCAGGCGGTCAGCGCTGGCGGCATGAAATCATCTAAAGAGGCCACCGAGCTGGCATCACCATCGCAGCCGACGTTGGCGGCATCGCAGCTCGGAAAGACCGGCGACATCTGCAAGCTGGTGCCACTGATCAGTGGGTTGTTGCGATAGTTGCGCAAAACCGTCGCTGTCGTCGTGTGGCTGGGCATCGGCATCGTATACTTGCCCAATGCAAGGCAGGGCGACACCACCTGGTCCAGAGAGTTGTCGTCAATGGTCATGGGCATGGCAACGTCTTTCTGTTTTTCCTAGGGGGATGTGGAGTAAAAGAAAAGCAGAAAAAGGAGCTAGTTAGTCATAAATTACATTTTAGGGAGTACCCTTAATGATGGTCATAAATTTATCGAAATTTTCAAAAGAATTCGTTAAATGTATAATCTGGCATTAGGGTAATAATGAAAAGCAGGCGTTAGAGCTGGAGTGCCAGTTGAGCTTTTCCGATAATCCATTTCAATCGAAAATAATTGATTAGTTTTAGTCAATAACTTAATTGTCTGTATAAGTTTTCAAGATGAACTGCAAATGTTTAAGTTTTCTGATAGCGGATTACTGTAGAAAAGCTCTGTTAATGCTACATAGTGTTGCTTTATGTTATCGATAATATCGGTTGATACCATCGATAAGCTTCGATTTACGTTAAATTCAATCTAAAAAATAAACTGAAAAAATCACGGTATTTTTACATTTAAAAAGAAATCGATAAATATATCGAATTTTTTAACTTAAGTTTTTAGCTCGAAGGCTGAACATTGAACATTTCTTACATTGGTAGTAAATGGAACGACTTTTTGTTGTTTTCTTATAAGTACGAATGTTAATTTTAGGATCTTAAATTAAATTACAGCATTGACATCTTAAATTAATCTTAAATTAAACAATTACCTACTTTAAAGCAGTCTTAAGTTAACCAGCCAACAATTAGCTTACTTAAGTACCTAATTCATATTCAGAGCGAAAAGCGTGCGATTAGAGGAGCCTGTCAGAAATCCAGCCTAAATGGCAAATACAATTTGTTGTCTCAGCCACAGAAGCACACAAATATTTAAAGTCAGGAGAGGCAGCACAAAGGCAAACCTCAATCCCCCTTACCACAGCCCAGGAGGAGCACAAAGGAACAAGGGGAAACGCAGCAGCACTTGAGTCCATCAAGAAGTCGAGCGCCAAAAAGGAGGTCGTCGCAGCAGCTACTCGCTATAAATCATATTTTAATGATGGCCCAGCCGGAATTCGTAACAGTAATAGAAGACGACAAGGGGAGTTCAGACTTAAGGGCGGGGCTTGCGAATATGATTATGCTATATTTTGGTTACAAACCCCACCCACACACACACACACACACACACACTCACACACACACACACACTCACACACACACAAAGGCAGCGTCAAATGCCACAGGAAATCAAGCACATATCAATCTCCAGTAAAGCTGAGGGCGCGTTTTCAATAATGAGCGCAAATGTTGAGATAAAGTTGCCGAAAAAAGTGTGTGACTGGGCGGGTGGTTGGTTGGAGGTGCGGCGCGGCGCGGCGCGTTGCGGTGCGGAGATGGTGCAACTAAAGCTTGCTACAAAAATGTTCGAGGTTCAAGTACAGTTTATTGAACCGCACGAATATTTGCAATGCTTTCACAGCGCTAATTGCAACGCAGTTGGCCATCAATAAGCGCCAACAAAAGCGAAAGTGCTGTAAATTGATCGATGGCCAAATATGGGGCCAGACACAGGGCTCGTGCATTTGTCGAGCCAGGGCAGGGCGTGGCAGCTGTCAGACGAAACGGCCAACAGATATATATTGTGCCACACAGCAACGCTCAAATCTGTGACACATTAACATCTGCCTGGCCAGAGCAGAGCACGGATGCATAGATACAGACACACAGATACAGATGCATAGAAACACAGATACAAGACACGCACATACAAATCACAGATACACACATTCGTTCTTGTTGCTGCTCACAAAGAAGGCGTAACGAATTTATAAAAAAAAAAAAGAAAAAATGTGCGCAGCACGCGCCTACAGCCCACGGGGCATGGCTAGGTGCTTTCGGGCGGCCAACTTTCGATACTTTGGCAACGCCATAATAAATGCCAAGCGCAATGTAATAGGTTTATTGTATGATATATTGTTTGGCGTGCCTCTATATTGGGGGCTTACAGTCATAAGCATCGACATCGCATCGACCTAATATGCCACAATAATAAATTATTAAAGCCCGGACAAGGCGCTGGCTTAAGCTAAACAGGCGCATTACAATAATTGTTTAGTTATCCTCAGGGAACTGCGGGGGAAGTCAACAAGAAAAAAAGATGTTATAATGATCAAGTTAAACAATTCACGACTGGCTGATACCCTTATAAGAGCTGCATTTCGGAAACGCAGATAGGGAGATGAAATTGGAAATCAAATATTTAAACATTTAAATCGATAATTATCTAATGAAAAGCGGCAACCCCAAGTCTAAAGTATGTTCAATGGGCCTTTATTAATAGCACGCAAAATAAAGGTTAATGTTCATTGTTTTGCTTGCCCGGGCTTAAAGGGTTTAACCTCAAAACATTGAATATGAAATCGATTTTATTCGATTAAAGTTGGAAAAGTTAAAGTGATAGGAAATTTTAATAAACTTGATCTCCCCAAAGTAATTTAATTACAATAAAGTAATATAAAAATAAGCTCGCATAATAAATGCTGATGTTCACAGCTTTAATTTTCCAAAAAAAAAGGTTCAAACTCAAACAATTGTGTTTAAAATCCATTTTAACAATTTGAACAATTCTAATAGCTATAATTTATTATTTATTTTATTATTATTTATTTATTAGCTTTAAAGTATTTAACAACCTATATAATGGTTTAGGGGTACTAGGAGCAAATAAATCGATCCTGACTTCGAAAAACTGAAACCTACATCAGCTTCTTCAGAGGGCAACTCGGAGGAATCGCATAGAGGCCTACCTTAGACACCTTTTTTAGCAAATGCTAATCAAATGCTCACCTACTTTATGAGCTTTCATATAAGACCCAGAAACCATTTGCACATTATCACGCCCATTTTGCAACTCATTTTTATTAGCTACAGGGTATGCCCAAAAAATGCAGCTGCTGAGCTTTGCAGCTCTTTAAAGCAAAATTTAATTGGTTTTCATTGTAATTGTAATTTTCATTGTGTGCTTTTTATTACCAACGCCCCCAAGTTCACTGACATTACGTGCCCAAATAAAATGAGTCACTTGGGCGCCTCTTTAAATGCACAGCAGAGCGCAAAGTAATTAAAGCCGCAACTTTTCTGCTGGGCTCCCCCCTAAAAATGATGGCCTACATCTTGGCGCAGCGGAGTAGGAAAAAGAGGGAGAAAGTAAAAGTTGTATTACGCCTCGCCTTCTCAGGGCATGGCAGCTGAGTCTTATTTGCTGTTTAAATTTTGCTCAGTGGGCGTTTGACTTTTGCCACCTACGTTGCATGTTGCGCAATTCGTGTGGCAGGCTCCAGGGAATACGCACTTATCGCTGACATCGAGCTGCGAGCCATGAGGCAGGAGGCAAGCGCCTCAACTTGAAATTGATTTTCTACGCTGGCATTTTGTCAATTTGGTGCCACGCACGAAAGGCTTGCCAAGGGCTTGTGCCACGTTCAAATATGCTTATCAAAATCAATAAGCAGCCAAGGCAACTGATTTGTCATTGAAGCGAGGAACAATGCGGCGTATACGTAATGAGCATTGCCGAAGCTCAGCTTGAGAAATGCTTGCAAAAATTTGTCAAATTAAATGTTTGTCACACATCGCAATATATAAAGCTTTAAATGTGTATCTCTGATAAGCGCACACATGCGTGCAATCAGTGTGTGCGTGTGCGTGTGCGTGAGTGTGCTTGTGAGTGTGTGCTTGTGAGTGTGCGCTTGTGTGTGTGTTTGAGAGTGTGCTTAGCATACTTAAGTGCGCAGCTTGTGGCTGAAAGCTGACGCCTAACAGAAGGACACTGGAGGCTTTTGATGAAGCCGACGAAAAAATACCCTTGCACAAAAGGGACACAAGCACAAAAATATTTATTATAGTTCTTATACAAGAGCTTTTCATATTGCGAACGGAAGGATGAATTTTATTTATCTAATGTTAAAAAGGTATAAAATAAAAGAAAAAGCCTTTAAATATATGTGAGGAGTGTGTAATAGCGCTCATCATAGGTGGTATGGATGTAAATTGTTATTTATGAAAAAAGAAATTTATATTTAAATATCATCATCAGGGAGGATCATAGGGTAACCTTCTTAAGCTCTGGAGTTTCAAAATTTTCTCGAGTAAAGGCGTCGTATATTTGGAGAAGAAACTGACAGATTGTGTTTTAATAGAAGCACACAAAATCTAGAACACTTTGAAAAAACTTATTTGTTTCTCGAATTAAGCTTGACCTTAAAAAATTAGCTCACCAAATCCAAACAACTTTTTGTGGCTGATAGTTATATGATATAGTAGTCCGAGGTTAATAAGGTGCTGCCAAGGTTGTCATTAGTAAGTTTGCAGAAGTTATAATAAATTATATAAATATGAAGAAAAGACAAAGAAGGTTTCGAAACAAAAACTCAATTTGCTACTCATTGTTCCTATGCAATAGAAGTCTGAGCAGATCGGGTTTGATAAGTTTCTGCTCGCGTGTAGAGAACGTGTTTGAGGCTTTCGATTGATAAGCTCGGCTTCCATAATATGAAGCACACTCAAAAGGCATTGCACACTAAAATTTAATTGTGCGTGACAATGAGATAATGAACGACTGAGTCAAACATAAATACGTACTACTAGAAGAAAAGATGCAGCTATGCTTAGTGTGTTTTGCATAGACTAAAGACTGAAAAACTTGTTCGCTTGTGATTAGAAATAAATATATACACAGCCACCATCCTATGCTATATTCTCCATAGACTCACTCACTGACAAAAAGAGACTACCTCCTAAAGGAAGAAAAAGAATGGCAACAGCTAATATATGGCAAGAAGAAGTTGGGCGATTCGTTTTGATAAGCCAAAACTGAAGTTGGGCAACTTGATTAGGCACAAAATAACAGGCAGGCAGCATCATTTATACCAATCAAAGATATTCATATAAATGGCCTAGCTTGGCCAGAGGCGGGGCGTGGCGTCGGGCGTTGGCAAATTAATCAAGTTTCGGCTCTCAATAAATATGCTGGCAGGCAAATACAATAATATTTATGCACATAAATCTACAGAAGTCGAAGCTAGCGTTGTGAAA